GCTTGCCAGGATTCTTTTTGTCCTTTCCCACTCCTTTCTCATGGTTTCCCTTATTTTTCCACCCCTTGGGGTGGAGGAGGGTATGAGGAATCAAAGGATCTTCTTTGGGTTTCTCTTTTCTCATCTCATGCCGGCCAGGTTTATTTTCGGTTACCATTATCCTCAACACCCCTTTTGTTTGGGTTCTTCGGCCCGTGCAATCCATGTTTTCAATTCCCTCTTTCCTTCGGGTCCTTCGGCTCGTGCAATCCATGTTTTCAATACTTCTTTCCTTCGGGTCCTTCGGCCCTAGCAATCCATGTTTTCAATACCTCTTTCCTTCGGGTCCTTCGACCCGTGCAATCCATGTTTTCAATACTTCTTTCCTTCTGGTCTTTCGGCCCGTGCAATCCATGTTTTCAATATTTCTTTCCTTCGGGTCCTTCGGCCCGTGCAATCCATGTTTTCAATATTTCTTTCCTTCGGGCAATCCATGTTTTCAATACTTCTTTCCTTCGGGTCCTTCGACCCGTGCAATCCATGCTTTCCGTCACTCTTCCCCGAAGCTCGGGTCTAGCAAAATCCACATACATTTCTCCCGGGTCATTTCACCCGCCCTTTCTCAAGTCATGCCAATTTCGCATGCATATCACCTTTTGTCCTTTCTTGCCCCTTACTTAATTAACTTTTCATGTGCGATGCTCGGTTCATCCTTCATGCATCTCTCTTCCAGACACCTTGCCAGACCTTCTTCTCAAGCCCATGCACGCAAATCACTCATCCGTTTCTCACCCTGCCAGTCTTCTTCTCAGATCCATACAAAGCCAGTTATACAAGTCTTTTTCGTTCTGGGCATCTTGCGAGGCCCCCTTTCTCAGGCCCATGCAAAGTCAATTACACAAGTCTTTTTCTGTCCTGAGCATCTTGCCAGACCCCCTTTCTCAGGCTCATGCAAAGCCAATTACACAAGTTTTTTTCTGTTCTGGGCATCTTGCCAGACCCCCTTTCTCAGGCCCATGCAAAACCAATTACACAAGTCTTTTTATGTGCTGGGTATCTTGCCCAACCCCCTT